AAATCTTTCTATGTAGTTTCGCATGTGTCTGAGACTGTTCATTTTGTTTTGTTTTCAGTCTATTTTCTCTCTGTTGTTCAGATTGTGTAATTTCTATTATACTATTTTCAAGTTCACGGATTCATTCCTTTATTCTCTCCATTTTGTTGTTGAGCTTATCTATTAATTCTTTTTTAATTTTGGCTGTCATATTTTTGAGTTCTAAAATTCCATTTGGTTCTTCCTTCTATCTTCTGTTTCTTTACTGAGACTTTCTATTTTGTCATTTATTTCAAGCATATCTACAATTACTCATTGAAAAAGTTTTACAATTGCCGCTTTAAAACTCTTTGTCAGATAATTCTAATGTCTGTGTCTTCTCAGTTGTAGCATCTGTTGATTGTCTTTTCTTACTCATTTAGAGATCTCCCTGACTTTTTTCTCTGATCAGTGATTTTTTTTGCTGAAAGCTGGACATTTTGGTATTATGTTATGAGACTCTGGATCTTATTTAATCTTCCATTTAACAGGCCTTCTCTGACATGGAGCCTGTGGGAAAGGGGGGCACTGCCTCCTTAATGACAGCTGGAGGTGGAATTCCAGGTTATCTTTTCAGCTCCCATTGAAACTCACGGGGGAGGGCTCCCCATTATTGCTGCCTCCGATGGGAGTGTGACTCTCTGCTAGGCCTCCGCTGCACTACCCTGGACGTGGAGCGCAGGGAGCCTTATGACTGTTTCCCGGGTAGCCTCCAGTGACATGACCAGAGAGTGGCCTGCTTACTGCTGGGTAGCAGTGAAGTCCTAACTCTCCACTAGGTCTCCTCTGATACGAGTCCACAAGGAGAGAGAGGGGCGTGACATTACTGCTGAATAGGAGGTAAAAGACCAGGCAGGCTTCCCACATGGACTCCACAAACATCATGGGGAGCATCTTCATTACTGCCCAGTGAGGGTGAACATGCCAGCTGCTCACTCTCTGGCACCATCCCAGCAGGGGGTTTGCGATGCCTCATTTCAACATGACAATGGTGGAAATCTAGATTCTCCACTCAGCTTTTGCTAATGAGTGGGGTGAGACCAGTTTTCTCTGCAGGTTTTAACTGGAATAGAGCAGTTATTCTAAAAGTTTTCTGCCTTGCTGCACTGCTCTTTTCCTGTTTCTTTGATTAGAGAAAGTGAGCTTTTCTTGGGTCCATTTTTTCATCTGTATCTATTGGTGTTTCTGGGCTGCTGGCTTCTCCAGCAGCTAGTCTGGGCCAAATGAGGCAAAAAGAAAATCCAAGGAAATACTGCCATATCATTCCTCAGTTCCAACATCCTGAGCTGGTCTCTCCTCATCTCACCACCTTTCAGTAACATATTGTGCGTGTATTTTAAATGTCCAATTTTTATCTGTACTTAAAAGGAGGAATAGAACAATGAATGTCTACTCTATCTTTCTGGAAGTGGAAGTCCACCACAAATTATGATTTTATTTCTTACATTTACTCAACAAATATTTATTGAGACACCTGCTAAGTGCCAGTGATACAAAATGACTAAGATAGTTATAATTTTTACCCTCAAGGTGACTACAATTTAGTAAGACAGATGATAAACAAATACTTATAAAATTATTAATTAAAATTTAACTAAGTTTGTACTTATGAGTAGCATATGAGCAAAAACAGAGAACCTAAATTAGTTTTATAAAATAGTGTATACAATACTTTATTCATGTGTTAATTGTAAATGATGTTATATCAAGAAAGGAATATATTTTTAAATCAATTATGGAATAGACTACTAGCATTCATCTTTTGAAATAAATAAACATAAGGGAAATAAAATAGTATTATATCCAGTGTCTAGTAAACTTATGATATAATGATGGTTGGAAATAAATGCTCATGAATGTTGAACCACAAATTTGGATTGATGACATTTTGGGGTGGTACATGCCCATGCTTTGAAGGTTATTATAATGAATGACAATTTTACTCTCTCTCAGATTATCTCTCTCTTACTGCGACAAATAAAACAGAATTCCAGGTTGGGTGAACTTTGCTTACATTCTAGTATGGTGTTTCTCAGGTTTCTTGTGCCTAAGAAACTCCAGTGACACAGTACTACTTCATTATGGAAAGTTCAGCTACTTTATTTGTCTTTGGATTGAGCTGACTTCATTGTCTACCATCCTCCAAAGAACATGCTGACATTTTTAATTTGATGGACTGCTGAGAAACCACAGCAGGATATAGACCAACCCATCAAAAGTGAATTGAGGATTTTATTGATGTGGAGAGCTAATTATGTGACTATAGGGAGTGGGACACTGATTGAAATCCATACGACTTTTTAGCGCTCACTCTGTAGGCTAGCTCCTGAGAGGAATAGTAAATGAAGGTGACTTGTTCTCTGCTCTCACCAAGGCACTGCCTAGTCCTTCTGTTAGAAGTCAGCTGCAGAGACCCTATTCCCTGCCCCCCAAATGAAGAGTTCAGAGACAGGCAGGAGTGTTCTTTTTCATAGATCTTGAGGTAGTCTTTGTTTTGACCTAAGAAGATGCTGAGAACCTGCCTTCAGATCCTTTATAAAACATATTGACTCTGTCTCTATACTTTCTCTCAAGCTTTATCTTGAGGTGGATTTAAAAAATAACACCAACCACGTTAGGTATGCATGTATATATGTATGCATGCATGTGTGTGTGTGGACATGGATGTATAAGATTTATCTGTGTGTATGTTTGTTTAAATTTTGTATACATGATTTGTTTAAATTCCCTTAGGAACAGAACAATCCTATGAAGTTATGGAAAAGTTTACTAAACATAAAAGACCTGGGTTTTGAGCGACTGATACATTGTATTGTAAAGACTGCATGAGGTAGTATCTATTGCTATACTTCTTGAAGAGGCACTCACTAAATGTTGACATCTATCACTTTCGTACCTCATAGCCATCATATGTTTGGCCTCCCTCATTCGTCCTGAGCCTGAGAAGTTTTCCTGTGTGTATAATCTGATTTTATCTACCTAATAAGGCTCTCCTTTGGCTTCCGTACTGTGTCTGAATACTTGGCTTTGACTCTTGCTCCTTGGAGTATGAAATCCCTGGCTCTCCACTCCTAAATATACGCTTTAGAAGAACTGGTCCTAACCTCTGTTCTCACTATTGACATTTTTGACTGAACCAGCCCTGCTGAGTCTCCAGATTGCATTTTTTTCACAACTTATCAAGATAGTTTTAGGAAAGTGAAATAATATTTCTCTTGGGCATCAATTAAGTGCCATACAAGACACTGAGTATATATCTTATGAACATTATCTCATTTAATTCTCACAACCTTGTTATCTAAATATGACTACATCTACTTTTAGAAATGCATAATATAAAGTCACATATCTAGAAAATGATCCAATCAGAACTCAAATCTTGGTTTATCTGACCTCAAAGTGCTTTGAGCTCCTATCCCCCTACAATAGTGTTTCTTATAATCAAATGATGATTTAATCCCTTTAAAAGGAGAAAAATTCTGGTAGACATCCATTGGTGATTTCAATTATGATCTTGATAGTATCACCTCTGAAATACAAAAGGTATAACTTTTGTACAACTCCCAAACCAAAAGATATTTCCACGGGATGTTAAACTCTTCTTAAACTTACCACATGCAAAATCAATCTCCTGATATTCTACTCTATTCCCAAACCTACTCTTTCTGGAGTCTTTCCTATTTCAGTTAATGACAACTGCAATCTTCCAGTATTTCAAGTAAAAATTATTGCTGCCATCCTTAATTACTCTCTCTTATTCACCAGATCCAGCCCAACAGCAAATCCTGCAGGCTTTATCATCAAAACATATCCAGAATGCAAGCTTTTCTCATAACCCCACTGCTCCCATCTTGATTCAGGCCACTGTTACCTCTGACATGAAGTAGGCTCCCAACTTCTCTCCTTGCTTTTGTCTGTGACACTTTTAAGTCCATTCTCAACACAGCAGTCAGAGGAATCTTGGCTAAATGTAAATTAGATCACATTTCTGTGCTACAATGTGCCCAATGGCCCCCACTGGACTCAGAATAAAAGCCAAAACCCTTCCTGTGATCTACAAGGCGCTATAAGACTCTATATAGCCTGACTCCTGTTTTTATGTCAAATGTTATCTCATTTTATTCTATCCCTTATTCAGATCTCTCCAGCCACATGGACCTGATCACTCTTGTCAAATTCCCAGCATGCTCTTGCTTTGAGCATTAGTACCTACTATTTTCCTCTGTGAGAAGTGCTCTTGCTTGGTTATCTACATGGAACTTCCACATTTCCTTCAGATCTTCAGTGGAATTTCACCTACTCAGTGACACCTTTCTTGACCACATTCCTAAAAATTGCAAGTGTTCTCAACTCTCCTCTGTTCTCTTCCCCATTTCATTTTTTCTCCTTATCATTAATCTATCTTACACTGTATATTTTACATATTCACACTGATGACTGTCTCCTCTTTCATTACAGTAAAAAGCTGTACAAGGACAAGGATTTTTGTCAGTTCACTGCTATATTTCTAGTAACTAGTTGGTTGATTTGTACATACCAAGACAATAAACAATTATTGAATGAAAGAATAAATTTAAAGTTAATAAACTGAAAAATCAATAAAATGACTAATTATGAGAACATTAGTTTAATCATATAGATTAGTTTTATAATATACATTATGTTAATTTGTTGAAACTAATTTGATGATATTACATTGAATAATAAAATCATATTTGCATGTTTTTGCATTTCATTTATTTTCAAATTGATTCTTTTGACTCTGAGTATGCTGAGTGATTATTTGAGCACCATCATTATCACTTCTTTTAATTTTCTTATTAATAACAAAATTGTCCTTTATTTTGAGGGATACACCTCAGCTATTATATGAAAAGAGAAAACATTTACATTCTTTGCATATTTACTATACACATATTGCCAATGAAGTGTGGATGATGGGTATATAAAAGATGAAAAATGCCCCCCAAACATCAACTTACCATGTAAATATGGCACAGACAGCACAAGTTGTTTGGTGACCCCAGGTTTTATGATATTCAGAGACTCACTTTCACCCATGACTCCTATTTGAAATCTTGTGGAACAAGTATTTCCCATGCCAAGTGAAGTTTTGCATCTTTCATCCCTTAAGAAGGTGACTGTAAACACAAATGCAAACATGGGTGATAAAATGCATGTCAGTATTCAATTATGAGAAAGTCATACAGGTGACTCAAAATATGCTTATATTATTTTTTAAGATCATAATCCAAAGGAAAATACAAAATTCATAAATTCTCATAAAAATTGAGAATATGTCTGCAGACCCCCAAGATCCATGAATTATAGTTTAAGCAACTTTCCTTATACCTCAAAGATTTTGTAAGACAAAGTATGATAAATGACACATGGAAATATTACAGTAGATTCAATCGAAAGGAAGACATTCAATTTGTGAAAAAGGACAGGCTTTTTAAAGAAGTAACATTTGTGTTAGGGGCAATTTAACAAGATAGAAACTGCAGAGGAAGTTAATTCAGGTAGAGAAAATTGCATGAGCAAAGGATTAGAAGCAAAAAAAACCTCCAGATTTCTCAAGAAATTTCAAAAACCTTTAATTTGTTGGAAAATAGAATACAAGAAAGAGATTAGTGTAGATTAGCATGAAGGGATAATATGGATATTAGATATGTTAAGAAATGATTATAGCCAATAGATATACAATGTCTTCTATACCTCCCAAGGACCATTCTTAGTGCTTTACATATAGTAACATGTCTAATCTGTACAATAACACTTTGAAGTAGATGAGGTCGCATATTCTCCTCTTTACTGAGGCTGAGAAAAGTTCAGTAACTTTCTCAAGGCCACACAACTGAACAGATCCCATGGTTTGATTCTGCAGTCCATGTTTAACCCCCATGTCCCAGACTTCTAAGTATATACTCAGTGCATATCAAGGATTAGAACCCCACATAACACAATAAATTATTGACAATTGATGCAGCAGGAAAAGTGCAGAAAAGTTTCATGAGCAGCCAGCAAAAGTTTGAAATCAAGATCTCCTAAATCTTAATAAAATATCTCACAGTTTCAGTTTTCTCATGAGGCCAGACCGTGAGAAAAGAGTTACTAACGATCTCTTGCATTCTAACAAACCACATAATAATAAGGTGTGTTCCTCATTTTCTTCTTTCTCTTACTGTCTCTTTCCCTCCTGCCGCTTCCCAACAGTCACCTCATCTGAGCATTTCCTTTCATTTCAAGCCCTATAACTGATCTGACTGCTCATTTATCTTTTTTTTTCCAAGAACTAAATATTTTAGTAGTTGTACCCCATGTATCTGATGTAAAAAATTGTTGGCCTTCAGTAATGTCATGAATACTAAAACTCATCTGTGAAAACTTGGAAAAATCATGTTAGGATCTTTCTTTCCAGTTTTCTCCACCCTCAGGAGCATAGGGAACACTTAGTCAAAAAGGCTTAAAATTTTCAGGAAGCAAAAGTCAAGCATAAGAGGCAAAGTGGTTTTATTTTTCTCCTTAGCAAATCACTGAAATTTCTTTATGTGTTCTTCCATCTGTCAACTAGAATGATAAATGGAAGGTCCTTGATGCATGAATTAAAATTCATTTTAATTTTAATAAATACGGCAAGGATATTCTTTGTTCTTCTCCACACATTCTTGTTACTACAACATGCAATGTGATAACTGATTAAACCACTATTTGTAGGTGACACACAAAATACAAAGACATTTCATATAACCTTATAATATCTATCTGAATAGTAAAGTATAGATATTTTGAAATACCAAGTCACTTAATATTTAGTTTAAATTCTGCTAAATCAATTTAGACCAAAAAATAAAAATCTATTTCCTTCTGATAAAAAAGGCTTTCTCTTACTTGAAAATATCGTAGAGTGGAATATATGTTTATTTCTATTTTTGTGTTTAAGTGAAGGTGAAGAAAAGATGTGAGAAATAATAGCATGGTATATATAATTTAAATGTTTATAATGACAACTCTAGATTATCAAAAAAATTGTAAATTATGTAAGTACTCTGTTTTTACAAAGGCACAGTTTTAATGATTATCATTGGAATCATTAAATATTTTTAATTACTGAAAGAATAGTAAATGCCATTCATCTATAGCATCTGCAATAAAAGCAATACTGGATCAGTGTTGTGCTATGTTGTATGCGCAGTAGAGTAGAGAACGGGAACATTAGATGTATCCTCAGATATAAGAAGAACTCCTCACTTAGGGGGGATCAGTGGGGATGCTATTGTATTCAACACTTTATTTAAAATATATGTTGAGTCTGACCACTACTTAGTGCTGGAAGTCACACTATTTGGTACTGAAATGAATGAAAAAGGCAATACAAATAGGTAGTCACTGATCTCATGGAACTTACATTTTATTTGTTGGGGGGACACAGCTAATAAACAAATAAACATACAAATACATAAACTATGTTCAGGTCCTCTGTGTAGTATGGTAGAAAAGACTGGGAAACTGGAAGTCTAGATTGTACTGTAAATGGAGGGAACAGAGTACATGAAAACCTCAACAAGATTAAATGCTTGCTCCACTTATGATTATCTAGATGAAAACTGGGAAGACATTTACAGTCTCTGGGCTCCCATTTCTTCAAATGTGATGTGAAGATATTACACTGACTGATCTCTAAGACCTTCTTCACCTTTGTATATCCTTCATTGACTTCTGTAACCGAGAAAAACAAGGGAATGCTTTCCAAGGGGAGTAGATTGCCTTCACACCTAAATGGCACCGTCACCTCAATTAAAATGCTCAAGATTATGATCCATCTAAATTGAAGAAGGCCCAAACGTGATAAAAGAATGAATTTAGAGACTTGCACTCAGGATCACAGATTAAACTCCTCTCAGTTAGCTTTACTCCCCTCTCCAGATCCCACAAAGACAAAAACAAAGTGATTTTTTAAAAGATATTTGCAAATTCACAGAGAATGAAAACAGCATCCAATTTTTTTTTTTTCTTTTTGAGGGAGATTAACCCTGAGCTAACCTCTGCTGCCAATCCTCCTCTTTTTGCGAGGAAGACTGACCCCGAGCTAATATACTTACCCATCCTCCTCCACTTCACATGTGAAACGCCTACCACAGAATGTCTTGCCAAGCAGTGCCATGTTCGCACCCAGGATCCGAACTGGGAACCCCGGGCCACTGAAGAGGAAGGTGTGAACTTAACTGCTGCGCCACCGGGCCGGCCCCCATCCAATTTTTTCAAGTGCAAAGGATATGACTTAGACCAAGAAAGCTGAACTCTAAAATCAGCACTTAAGAAAGCTGATAAGCAACTCAACTGATCCAAACATACAGAAAACATTCATAAACTGCTACTATGTAGTACCTCTGCCATGGGGTGAAGTTAGGGCTACAAACTGGAGTATTGACAGAAATTTCATTTAAGAATCCTTTTGGCATCTCCCCCTTCCAGATCTTATTCCCCATTTTGAACAGCAGAAGTCAGACCCTCCCACACTCTGGCAAAAGATGAGAAGGCTACTCATTGGAAAGGATTTTTCTAAAAAGACTCTGGAATGGGGGGAAGCAAACATAATTGAGAACAAGTGTATCAAAAAGAAAACAAAGCAATCAAGTGAGAGCGTATATACTGAATGTAGAGACCCCTAGACCTCTTCTCTAATAAAATTACCTCCTGATCCAACAATCCTATTATGAGGAATTGTTTCATAGAAAAAACTAATAATACAAAATATATATCAATAAGACTATTACATCTATATTATGGAATATTAAGCATCTATTTAAAGCATTTATTAAATTTCTATGCAATAAAGCAAGAAATAACGCCTTAAAGATTTTAAGTGAAAAAAGTAACTTTGAGAACAATATTTTTAGTATGTTCACATTTGTTAAAAAATAAAAATAAAAAAAGGCAGAGGAGACAGAAAAAGAATTCATCCAGATAGCATGTATATCTGAATAGTTATTTGAATCTGAAGACTAATGTGGAACAATACACAGAAAATTGTTGATTTCAGTACCATTATCAGCCAAATGGGGATGAAGTCTTATTGGGTATATAATACTCAGTACAATGTTAATGATGCACAAGACAAATTTTCATGTTCTCATCATACCTGATATAGACATTCTGTTTTAGTACCTGTAAACTTTGATTGAATTTAAATTTTTACTCATTTTCTATCTACCTGATATTCTGTAAATTAAGATGAATCATATCAAATTGTCCATATTTAATGATTTTGACCAACAAAAAGGATAATTTCATATGCTTCGACCTATTATTTATCAGTTTGTTTCTTATCTATATCACTTTGGGGAAAAGGAAGTTTCCTGAAGACAAAGACTTATTCTCCTTAATTTTCTTTATCCTTAGTGCTAACACAGGACACAGCTGGAAGTGGGCATCAGGAAAAAAGTTCATTAAATTTATGTATGAGTGAATAATGTAGCATGTATCATTTTTCTAGTATAAATGTAAAATATAATAATATATTTTCAAATATTAGGTTTTAAAAATAGCTACTTATATTTTTATTTCCTCTTTAAACAAATAGTTGTTTAGGATGTGAAACTGAAGGTTGAACTCCAAAGAATTATTGTCTTTTAAGCTTTTGGATCTAATTTCCAGTTTCATTGTGTTACCAAAAATATGGCCTGTAAAGTTTTAATCTTTTACAACTTTTGGTCAAATATATGATTAAGTTTTATAACATTTATATCACTTGGTAGCACTTAAGAAACCACGCAATTCTCTTTGAAGGTACCCATATCTATTATTATGCATATCTATTATTTCAGGTTTATTAACTGGATTATCTGAATTTTTTATCAACCATAGGCTAATGATGATACTTCATGCTACAATTGAATCTGTTTTCAGCTACTTATATTTTTAAACACTGTGATGATATTCATTATATACAGTTTACAGCCATTAGATATCCAATATAAATTATGCTTTTATCAATAAATCATGACCCGTTGCACTATTCAAAAAATCTCCTTTTTTTCAAAATTTAAAACTGATTTCTAATTATTAAGCTACCTTTTTAAAATTGAAATGATAAACACTATACAGGCTAACAGGTTAAGAACTCTTGTATATAT